GCCCTACAAGTGAGAAAGAAAAGCAAGAGATGAACAAGGTGCCTTATGCTTCAGCCGTGGGTAGTTTGATGTATGCCATGGTATGTACGAGGCCAGATATTGCTCATTCAGTTGGGGTTGTTAGTCGCTACATGTCGAATCCGGGTAAAGAGCACTGGGCAGCCGTGAAATGGATTCTCAGATATCTTAGAGGTACCTCCAGAGTTTGTTTATGTTTTGGTATTGGACAACCTATGTTAGATGGGTACACAGATGCAGATATGTCTGGAGATGTTGATACTGCAAAGTCTACCTCGGGATACTTGATGACATTTGCTGGAGCTGCAGCTTCATGGCAATCAAGATTGCAGAAGTGTGTTGCTTTGTCCACTACTGAGGCAGAGTATATAGCAGCTGTTGAGGCTGGCAAGGAGTTGTTATGGATGAGGAATTTTCTTGAGGAGCTTGGTTTGGAACAAGAAAATTATCTTCTTCATTGTGATTCTCAAAGTGCCATCCACCTTGCCAAGAATGCCGCGTTTCATTCTCGAACCAAACACATTAAGAGAAGGTATCATTGGATTCGAGAAGCTGTGGAGGACAAGTCTTTTGAAATTGTGAAGACTCACACAAGTGAGAATTGCTCGAATATGTTGACCAAGACATTGCCGAAGGAGAAACTCGTGTTTTGTCGAGAGAAGGCCGGTTTGTTTGCTCACTCCATGTAGGAGTGAGGGGGAGATTTGTTGGGAAATTTTCCTCCTACATGGAGGAAGTGTTCAATTTTAATTGGACAACACATTATATCTCTCTTTTACATTTGGGCTTATTTTTGTGTGTAAAGTTTTAGCCCAATTGTTTTTTTTGGTGGCCCATATATTAAATATATAAAAAAAAGAAGAGGTGTAGAGAGAGTACTGGCAGTAGCTACGCAGGAAAGAGGGAGAAAAAAAAAACAGATTTCTCGCCACACAGTGCAGCAGCCACTTTTCACCTCCGGATCGAAGGCCAAACGAAGTCGAATCGTGCTCAAATTTTAGTATGATGTTCCTCACACACTCCTCTTCATATCCAACTGTCAGTTTCTCGTTTTGATGCCCGGAAGGCTGTTTTCTGGTTGCGTTTTCAGACCTGCGTTTTTGGGAGTTTTTACTCCATTTTATGGTGAATTGTTGATTGTTGTTGTTCCAAGGTTGCTCCTTGATGATTGGGTATGCCTCTAGTGTTTACTAGAGAGGAGAATTTGTTGTACCCACTTGATTCTTGGTGATTAGTGGAAGTTTGGGAGCCGTTGTTGAGCGGCCGTGGTTTTCTCCCCGATTTGGGGTTTCCACGTAAATCGTGTGTCATCTACTTTATTATCGCTGACATTTATTTGTGTGTGTGCTGCTGCTTTTTCAGAGTTTATTGTGCTTGTTATTCATCTCATTAATTTGGGGAAAAGATTTTATACGCTTCCGTTGTGTTTTTTTTCCGTGCTTCCCCAACAGAAACACTAAACTAGCGTAGAATATCGGTAGAAACCAATGTAAGGATATGACTTTATATACCTATATTCACACGCTTAAAGGCACTCACAAAATAGGTTTAAAACCATCACATAAACATTTTCAAATATCTAAAAGGTTTTAAACTCAAACACGAAGAATTAAGGGAATTTTGGAAAAATCAGAACAGAGTCACGGTACCCCTAGTGGTACCCCACACGGTAGGGTATACCCCCTACACGGTACCCCCATACCGTGTAACGGTACCTAGGTACCGACGGTAGGTGTAGACGGTTGGCCGAACCCGTCCTAACCAAGTACCGCCAGAGGCGAACCGAACTTTTGGAAGACACGGTACCCCCAAACGGTAGGCTATACCGTGGTCACGGCACCTAAGTACCGGACGGTACAGACCCTACCGTGAAGGGTACCGGATCAGTTGTAATCACTGTAGCAAATTGCCAATTTAAATTCAAATCACCCCTAATCACATAAAAATGGCTAATTAACATCTTCCACTATAAATACAAGCCTAATCCTTCATATTTCTTCAAGAAACAAAACTCTAAACATCCTCTCTTTTTTATTCTAAGTGTGTTCATTCTTTTATTATTTATTTTCAATATTTTGGCTATTTTAAGAGCCTTAAATTCCTGATTTTTATACACACACTTTGAGCTTGTGTTTCTAGTTATATACTCTCATATTCATAAGTTTGAATTGTATTTTTGAAAGAGTATACTTTCCTTCTACACCGGCTAAGTTTTTTTATCATTTTAATATTCTAGCCGTTGTGTAGAATCCTTGATTGTGTTCATCAAACACACATTCTTACGGTCGAGAATAGCCGTTAAATTCTCACATTGTAACGGTCAAGGATAGCCGTATAAATCCTTGGGTAAAGGTTCAAGGACAGCCTTTGAAATCCTTGGGGTAACGGTAGAAGATAGCCGTTAAATCTTCATTGTAAACGGTTCGAGATAGCCGTTGTGAAATCTCGGAGTAAATCCTATTGGCAAGGGTTGTTTGCCAAAACTAGTGCGGTGCTTTGACGGAGTTCAAGAGGCCGGGACTTAGTGGATTTGGAAATCCTTGAGGAGGAGCCTCGAGGTACTGGAGTAGGGGTTTCCCGAACCAGTATAAAATCGGTGTGCATTTTATTTACGCTTTTATTTCTGCGTTTTATATATTGCTTCCGCATTTGCCAACACCGTTTTTATCAAACTCTGAAAAGATTTTAAACGCCTTATTCACCCCCCCTCTAAGGCGTGGGCACAACGACTAAACCGAATAACAATTGGTATCGGAGCGGTTTCGTAGTTGAAAGTGTTTAACCGCATCTACGACAAAGATCCACTTGTTGTGTCTATTTTTAAATTTGAATTTTTAAAATCTCAATATTTTTATTTTTTCCAATTTTAAATTCAAATTTATTGAAATATGGCCCAAATAGATTCCCAAAGCATCCACCGCCCTCCGTTTTTCAATGCTCAAAACTATTCTTATTGGAAAATGCAGATGGAATATTTCATTCAATCAATTGATTTTGATTTATGGTTGAATGTACTTCACAGGCCATTTGTGCCGAGTATTGGTAATCTTGCAGGATTATCTCCGGAGGATAAAAGAAAGCTATCAATGAATGCAAAGGCAATCAATATTCTCCATTTCTCTCTCGGCCCCGATGAGTTTGCACGAGTATGTTCATGCAAAACGGTCAAAGAGGTATGGGACTTGCTTCAAGCCACGCATGAAGGCGACACCTCCACGAAGCAAACAATGTTGGCCCTCGGAAACTCGGAGTATGAAAGTTTCAAAGTTGGCCAACATNNNNGTCAATCCAAGATGCAAATAGAAGGTTCAACGAAATAGTCAAGAAGATGGGTAAGTTGGGTAAGGAATATTCTACAAGTGAACTAAATACTAAAATTTTACTTTCTTTGCCAAAAGAATGGCATAGTAGTATTGTAGATCTTTTACCCAAATGTGCAACGGAAAGCACCGCCCACATTTGGTCTTCTTTGTATTCTCACGAGCTTTTGATGATAAAGATGAAAGAAGAATATTTGAGAGAAGATCCAAAACGAACCAATGCGTTCAAGGCATCCAAGGAGGAGTCTAGTGATGACTCAAAAAACTCAAATGATGAGTAAAGTGAAACGGATGAAACATCCGATGACTCTAATTCGTCAAGTGATGAAGAAGACGAAGAAAGAGTAATGAGGAAGAAATACAAGAGTTTTCTCCAATGGAAATTTTTTGAAGACTCAAGACGGAGAAAATCAAAAGAAAAAGAAGTATATTCCAAGTCGAAGAAAGAACGACAAAAGCCAAGGTAAGTTTTTTTTTTCACTTATTGGGATAAGAATTTTTTTGTTGCTTTCAATATTTTTCAAAAATAAAAACTTATCCCATAATTTGCTTTAGCCTTGGTTTGCATGATTAAATTTTTCGTTAAAAAAAAATCATCTTTAAATCATGCCTTTTTAATCCCCAAAAATCCCTGAAAAATAAATTTTTAAACTTGCATCATTTTAGGGGGAGATTTCATTTTTAGGGGAAGTTTCGTTGTAAATGCACCTTTTGCCCAATGATCTCAAAACTATCATTTTTCCTAAAAAATCATTTTGATAGGGGGGGGGGTTTCAAGAAGTTATACATGGCTAAAATTTTCAAAATACCCTTTTTGATTTTGACAAAATGGGGAGAAGATGTATACTTCAAAGTGGTGCATATGCAACTTGACTTGACTGCATTCTTGTGTAAACTTAAACTTTTAATAAACACAAGAAACAGTTCAAAGTGAGTATTTTGAATATGCTTGTTCTTAGGGGGAGCTTGCTTGCTTCAATATTTTACTCCCGCCTAACTCACTTTGAAGTATATTGTTTGTCAACATAAAAAAGGGAGAGATTGTTAGCCTTGGTTTGCTAAGCCTCATGTTTTGATGTTAACAAACAATATAAGAGCTTAACGTTTGTTTAAGTGTTTCAGGAAAACAAGATTCCATTAAGATTCGGTACTCAAGAATGAAGTCGAAATACTAAACTAGCGTAGAATATCGGTAGAAACCAATGTAAGGATATGACTTTATATACCTATATTCACAAGCTCAAAAGCACTCACAAAATATGTTTAAAACCATCACATAAACATTTTCAAATATCTAAAAGGTTTTAAACTCAAACACGAAGGATTAAGGGAATTTTGGAAAAACCAGAACAGAGTCACGGTACCCCTAGTGGTACCCCACACGGTAGGGTATACCCCCTACACGGTACCCCCATACCGTGTAACGGTACCTAGGTACCGACGGTAGGCGTAGACGGTTGGCCGAACCCGTCCTAACCAAGTACCGCCAGAGGCGAACCGAACTTTTGGAAGACACGGTACCCCCAAACGGTAGGCTATACCGTGGTCACGGCACCTAGGTACCGGACGGTACAGACCCTACTGTGAAGGGTACCGGATCCGTTGTAATCACTGTAGCAAATTTCCAATTTAAATTCAAATCACCCCTAATCACCTCTAAACGGCTAATTAACATCTTCCACTATAAATGCAAGCCCAATCCTTCATATTTCTTCATGAAACAAAGCTCTAAGCATCCTCTCTCTTTTATTCTAAGTGTGTTCATTCTTTTATTAATTATTTTCAATATTTTGGCTATTTTAAGAGCCTTAAATTCCTGATTTTTATACACACACTTTGAGCTTGTGTTTCTAGTTATATACTCTCATATTCATAAGTTTGAATTGTATTTTTGAAAGAGTATACTTTCCTTCTACACGGCTAAGTTTTTTTTATCATTTTAATATTCTAGCCGTTGTGTAGAATCCTTGATAGTGTTCATCAAACACACATTCTTACGGTCGAGAATAGACGTTAAATTCTCACATTGTAACGGTCAAGGATAGCCGTATAAATCCTTGGGTAAAGGTTCAAGGACAGCCTTTGAAATCCTTGGGGTAACGGTAGAAGATAGTCGTTAAATCTTCATTGTAAACGATTCGAGATAGCCGTTGTGAAATCTCGGAGTAAATCCTATTGGCAAGGGTTGTTTGCCAAAACTAGTGCGGTGCTTTGACGGAGTTCAAGAGGCTGGGACTTAGTGGATTCGGAAATCCTTGAGGAGGAGCCTCGAGGTACTGGAGTAGGGGTTTCCCGAACCATTATAAAATCCGTGTGCATTTTATTTACGCTTTTATTTCTGCGTTTTATTGTTGGGAAAATATTATAGATTTTGATGATGATGTATTTAGAATGTAATAGGGACTTTAGGTCTCCCCAAATATTCAATGTAATTTTTTCCTTTTAGAAATATTGTTAAAACCAAGTTCTTGAGATTTCCAATAAAGTCGTGATATTTCTTTAAGCGGTTTGATGCCTGAAGACTTAATCAAATTCAGTAATTTGGAAATTAGATATCTTGATCGGAAATGTCAGAGACAAGTAAGGATTTCTCAAAGCAGACGAAAATCCTCCTATCCGGAAGACTACATGAGAACCGGATGTCTCGCTACAACCCGCTGAAGGCTAAGTCGGAAGACTAGCGCGAATTTCTTTCTCATCTGGAAGACTGAGTATGACTCTTCCGGATTTGTCAGCTAAGAACCGGATGCCTCAAGGAAGACCGGAATTCTCAAAAAGCGGACAAGTGAGAAAAGACTTGGAAAATTATCTATGTCTTGAATGAAGAAATTCTACCCGTTGGTAAGGAAAAATCAATCTCTTGATTTTCAACGGCTAGATTGAAGATAATTATGTTGATTCAAGAACAAATGACTCAAAGACAAAGTCTGGACCTCTAAAAATTGAAGAACCTGTCCAGAATTCCTAAACAAGCACTAGAAGACAAACAGAGTAAAGTGCTACAGTCCAGAATTCTTGAACAAAAGCTAGAATACGGATTCTATGGAAAAAGGAATCCCTCCTTAAAAAATTGGGTATGTCCAAACACCCACTCCAATGAGGAATCTTCAAATCACAATCTTCATTCAAAATTGAAGCCAGCAAATGCAACGGAAAGTCTATTTTGATTCAACGGATAGATTATCCAATCCAGCTATAAATAGCATCCTTGGAAGACTGAAAAAAAAAGAACAACTCATCAATGATAAGAAGAACAACCACAAAGAGGCTACCTCATTCACAGTTAGCCCAAAAAGCTTGATAAAGAGAGATTTCTTAACTCCTTATCCAGAAGCAAACTTCTCCTCCTTCCAAAGAGCTATAGTGAAAATACTTGAAGGTTTCCTTGCCTCAAGTACCACACCACGTTGAAGGATACAACTTTTGATCAAACTTATTGATTGAAAGGGGGTAGGTCAACTTTCTTACAAGTTGGTCTTGCAAGTCCTATTGTTCGGACCTTGCAGTTGTTGAAGAAGCGTGACCTTCGAAGGAACAACAAAGCCAGCACGAGTGCAGTAGCAACATTGGCCTTGCGAAGATATACCGTGCAGAAATTCACACAAGTGTAATTGTTGGTTCATTATTCAACAA